CAACGGAGAGCTGAACGACGTCGCCAGGAACCAGGTCCACGGCCTTGACTTTGATGTCCGGTGTTCCCTGGCGTGTGACGGTAGCTTCGGGTGCGGTGAGTTTCTTGAGAGATTCGATAGTCTTCTCGGCTCGGTAGTCCTGCCAGAAACCAACAACGATGTTGAGGAGGATAACTGCGGTGATGACGCCGCCTTCGATGTAGTCGTCTATGCCAAAGCTAATGGCCATGACAATGATGAGGACGAAGGTGAGACTGTTCGAAATCTGCCTTAACAGAATTTTCCACATGGAAAGCCCTTCAGCTCCCTTAACCTTGTTAGGGCCATAGAGCTGGAGGCGAGATTGCGCTTCAGAGTGAGGGAGTCCATGGCTGCGACAGTTAGCAGGAGCACGAGAGTGGTGAGCATGAACAGTGAGCCCTACTGGATGTCGACTCCCAGAGTCTGTGCAACTTCCTCGGAGGTGAGGGTGTGCGGAGCGTGGAGTGTGGGCGAAGTGTCGCCATCGATGGGGTTCGGCTGGAGTTGCCTTTGGTTTGGTGCAGTATGCGGATCCTTACTACCACATATAGGGGGTTCATCGACGTTAGGAGAAGTCTCCTCGACGGCAAGTAGCACAGTTTCACCCATTCAAGTATATGTGATAACACGGATAGTGTTGGTGGTAGAGAGCAAAGATACGCCTTTGCGGGGGAGTAGTTATAGGCAGCTTGTCCTACCAGGTTTAGGCGGGGTTAGCACGCTAGACGAACGACGTGGGTCGTCCAAGCGTAGAGAGGCTTGGAACCTCTTGTCCACCACGCCACATGAATGGCTGCACATGTCTTTGTCGCAGCAAGTATTGCATTAGCAGGTACAATCACAGTGATCAGCTGATGCTCCGGACAAACATGTACCCACAGCTCGGTTTCAAAGACCAGTAGTCAGCGAACGCAGTGAGGCTGGACTAACTCGAAGGCTCATTGACCGAACGATAAGAATCTTGGCTGACGGGCCCAAGCAATCCGGCCTCCGCTCTCCGGTCCTAAGTCTCATCTGTGTGGCTTTGAGGCACTGTGCCGCGATGCCGAGATGTCTCGGCTGTTGGCGTTGAGATCTATCGGAGTACTCTTCGGTACCAAATGTTTGCCCGTTGAAGTTGAGGCAACCAAACCCCGCGTTTTGCGCAATGTGTGTGGAGCCATGTTATGCTTTTGGACAGCAGGAGGATTCGTCTGGGAAATGGATTCCGGGGTCGAGATGCGATAGTAAGCAGCGCTGTCGCATATGACAGGTTGATGTTTGCCACGTATGCCAATTCAGGCTTGGGCGGCGTTAGGTGTGGCGGCACCGCCAATGATACGTCTCGCAAGCCAATACGCCTTGATAGAGACGCGTAGAGACACTGCACTAGACCTGCAACGCATCGAGCAGTCGTCGCGCGGCCGAGTGAGCATTGTCGTGAAAGATTGGGCCGAGCAGTCTGGGGAGCGTACGTTCGGCTGGCGACACAGCGAGCGACCGGCGGTTTTCGGAACAAGATGACGGTGCGACAGGGCTCTTTTGGATATAAGAGACATCGCTGGACATGAGATGTCGTTGAATTTGAGTCTCCCTATCGATAGACAAGCTCAGTGCGTGGAGACCTGGACCTGGCGTGGCGGGTATGTGGTGGGGGTGGCAGTTGCGGCCTCTGCGCTCCTGCTCCCACTGCTCCCACAATTCTGGCATCCGACCGTACCGAGGAACTGTTCCTACAACACAGCGTGTTCGCATCAACTGGTACGCTTCCGACTGGTTGGAGGCTTCCATGCGCATACACATGTTGTCACGAAGAAAGAGACGGTCACAACAAGTTGGTAGTCTTAGTGAACAGAGAACGCTTTTGATTGTGCGCTACGAAATATCTCAATATGCGCCAAATACCCCATCCCAATGCCCATTACCCTATATATGCATCATAAAGTCATAAAACACCCTTCCGCAATTCGCCCAGCTCAAATCGCGCGTAACGACTCAGCTTCCGACATGCTCGAACTTGATGAGCGTCTCGGCGCAAGCTGGACATCCGCCTCGGCGAGCGCGGCCTGCATCGAGAAGCCAAAGGTGGCTGCGAGGTATTGCGCATAACGAATGCGGTAGGCCTGCGCAGGATCTTCCTTTGGCTTGAGAAGCTCCTTCTTCTGTGATGAGACACCTGCTGGAGAGATTAGATGGGAGGCTTTAGTATGGTTGATCAAATATACCCGATGCGGGATGGAGAACTATTGAAGGCGTCATGGTAGGCGACAAGGTGGGTGAAGATGAAGGTGACGAAGCAGCGGACGAGTTGAATGGAAGAGCAGGCATGATGTCTGAATTCTAATAGATGATAGATGATAGGTGGGTGGTGTGGGTCGTGAAGTAGGCGGAGCTGATTGGCTGCGGTAGAGGTAGTTCGTGGTTTGTATGGAGGTAGTTCTCTGGTGTCGATCCCGTCTTGTTGCGAAAGAGTTTAGATTGGAAACTCGAGATTGGTTGTAGAGTTGCTGTGGATGCGTTTGCTGCTTCGAGAGAAAGATGGGCAGCAGATGATGTCTTTATACGTGGCTGAGGGCTAGGATCGAGGCACCATTCAATCACGATCGCAAGGGCTTCGGAAGCTTCACCGCACAATCAGAAACAGAACGAATCGCGCCGTCACGATAAGTTCCACACAAGAGACACCGATGCATGCATCTCGATCAGCCCGAACCAATGCAACGTAATTGGGGGCAGATTGTTTCCTAGTACAGAAGCGTGATACATGCCGGTTAGCCATCCATGAATGCGCCATTTGTTTTCTGTTACCCCTGGACCATCGCGCTCCCGTAGCGCTTCCCCAGGTTTTTTCATTCGTGCTTGCAGCTTGCCTGTTTGAGCGGTGTAATGTTTTGTTGAGCGCCAGACTACTTTGAGCCCTGTGCATGCAATACCTGTTATAGCAACATCACGATGCTCATAGCAAGTTTCGCGATTGCGTTGTTCGACGGCACACAGGATGTATGTTGCGTGACGCAGATAGTTTGATACAACTACATTTGAGTGGCACCACCTGACTAACTTAGCCAACATCGCTGCATAAACCCAGCTGCGGAGCACATCGCCACATGCCGTAAAGGCCAGTAATACGGTTTTTAGAGACGGGCAAATGACACAAAGCCAATATTCGCTTCTATTTTGCGCTCAAAGATGACGACGGCCCAGGTAGCCCTTGCTCATAGTGGAACGACCGTGCGTTGGGTTAAACATCAGCAGCTACGCCACGACTGAGCCATTTTCCTGCCACAACTGGCCTATTCTCTCTATCGCGCAGGGCCCAGCCAGCTCACTCTGCACCTGCATATCGCTGGTACGGTGTCAGACCTTTCCAGAGAACCACGTTGCTGGCGCACGTCTCCTGGGACGTCGTGGTGCTCTGTGACGACCCATGCCGCGTCGTCTGGCGCCATGCAAGGAAACGGGGAGACCTTTTTCTAGACTACCAGGATCTGCAACTAAACGTCCGCTTCTGAGGGCTGAACCGCAAGAAGCCGCAGCCAAGAATCTCCACCGTGGATGCGGAAACTCATTCGAATTCTCTGCCATGCATTTTGCTGCATGCGCGGTCTGACCCACGTCACACCGGCCCACCGCACAAGACGTCGAAAGCAACTCTTGCGATGGCCCTCCGTCATCCACGATGCTGCAAACATATGCATAGTTTGGTATGATGGCATTTGAGCAGACCAAGGTGGTCTAGAAGCCTCATTTTACGTACGAGAAAACCGGTGTAGGCCGCCGAAACGTCACGATGTCAAAACGCCGCATTGTTCCAAACGTGTTCTATGCAGGCGCCGCATCACCAGGCCTCGACGATCGATGAGGGGCAGCGCCATAAGCGGGACCGTATTGCGGGGCCGATGCTTTGAATCGGATGGCTCGGCTGAAAGCCGTCATTTGTCTCCAGTCGTCAGGCACACAGCTGTGACCGCGGCAACTTCACCTTCCTGTTTATTTTGACCCAAGACTTGGCACATGGTCCTCCATGGACGGGATTTCAGACTCTCCTGCACCATGTCAGCATCCGGAAAGTGCTTTCCGAGGTTGCATGCACCTCGCTATCAAGCACACAGCCACCCTCGACATGCACGATATTGCCTCAACCCAACGCTAGGCTCATACTGTCAGCACGCGCTTTTGAACATGTCCATGTCGCTGCAGGTGCGCCATTTCCTCAAACAACACCAACACCATTATTCCCGCTGTGGATCTGTCGATCCGGTCCAGTCAACTCTAAAGCAACGTCAATCACCGGGCAGCGCACAGCATGATCAATCACGAAATGCGACACAGGAAAAACGTCAATTGCAGCGGTGTTTTTCTCTTCACCGCTACCATGTAAGTTTATCTCGCGGTCGATCAATAGGGCGCGCCCTGCAGGGTGCATGAGCCGATGCCAGGGTCAGACGCAGTTGTACCTGATACACCCACACAATCAACAAAGTCGATATGGAATATTGTCTAGTGTGGTTTCACGAATTGCGCGAATATTGCGACAGATACCGTGATGGACATGTCGCAAAGCTTATTTCGACCGCCCTGCGTACCACGATTTAGATGAACCAATGTTTGCACAGAAGATGTGGATTTGCATTTGATTTTGGATCACCTACTGTAATTTTGAGGCGTTGACCGGAATTCTGACTCTAGATATCGGGCCTACACCCTTTTCATATCAAGCTCGCATATAGTGTGGAACTCATTCGCGAATACCAGCCCTATGCACGCTCTGATGTGTTCGGTCCGCGCACACACACACAAAAACAAAAGAAAGAAAAGCAAACTAAGACGCTCAACGGCATCGTATCTACCGTTAACCATCAGAGTCCTCTGGGCTTCGCGCTTGAGCCTGAAGTTTTTATGCGAGTAGTTTCAGGCGTCTTTACTGGGGCCTTGGTAAGCCAGGAACTATAGTTTGCCTGAGCTGTTCGTCTGAAGTAATTTACCATGGAGACCACGCTCTACCAAAGCTGCCGTTCATCCATGTATCCAAGCTGTTGACCACGGCCACCAAAGTTGCTTTCTGGTTCGCGTGGCTCAGGTGGCCACCTGTCCTGGCTCATCATTGGGGAACCACCTTGCATGCCACCGTCGTCGTCGTCTTGCTCGTTGCCGCGTCCTCTACCAACATCGCCCATGCCATGAACTCTGGCTCCACCACGCATCGCGTTGCGAAGACCTGGGGGGGCGGCGTGGGGACTAGGTCCAGGAGCAGCACGGGGAGCTGGAGGTGGACGAGGTGCTGCCATGTAGCTTGGGGGACCTGGAGGCGCTGGTGAAGCAGCTGCAGTGGCATAGCTGGGTGGTGCTGGACGAGGTGTCGGACGAGGTGCTTGTGGAGGTCCACCACCACCATATCCAGCAGGTCTCGGCGTTGGCATCCCGCCCCCATAACCAGGAGGAGGACCACCCCCATACCCAGGCGGACCACCCCGTCCCAACTGCTGAAACTGCTCACTATCCTGCCAAATCCCATCTTCCCCCAGAAACTCCGCGCGACAAATCGGACACTTCTTCGCATCATCCGGCCGATTGACCAACATCTCTTTCAGACACTGCCTCCCAATAAGGTGATTACATCCGGGTATATTCTTAATCTGAACACAGAGGTGCGACGCGCTCGGCGGCTCCAGACAAATCGGACATTCTGCATTTGGGGGTGTGATGGGCCCGCCTAAGGGCTGCGTGTTCTCTGCCATGAAGTCGGCTATGAGTTCGGTATTTTCGCTCGTGAGACCGTTGGAATGGGGCATCGGTGCTGGCTCGACTTCCATTCTGAAGGAAGGGTCGCGGGGGCCTGTATTGGGTCCGCTGCGACCGTTTGGAGGGCCGTTGGCGCCGTTGCTGCGGAAGGGGTTGGGGCCGCTCCAGAAAGAAGAGGAGAAAGCACCTGGTCCGGTGTTTCGCCCGCCTAGGAGACTTCCTGGGGGTGGGCGTCCTTGAGATGGCGGACCTTGTCCCATGCCCATTCCTCCACGGACGGAGTTGCTGAAAGGACCGCCTGGACCGTAACCTTCTTCGTGTCTGTTGCCGTCGGAGTCTTGGTAGGAGGAGTAGGAGTGTGTCTGGCCGCCTGTCATGGGACCGCCCATTCCACCGCTGTACATGGGACCTGGCCCGCGCATGCCACCCATCATGGGAGGTGAGTCGTTGTAGTCATCATATGGGTCTGGTTGGGGATGGCTTGGTCGGCCTCCACCGCCACCTGTGCGGCCACCACCAGGGCGGAAAGGGTTTGAGCCCCCGAAAATGCCACCTTGGAATGCTGGCATGGTGAGTGTAACTTTTTGTTGTTTGGAAATGGGTGAGGCTGAGGTCGGACTTCTGCGATTGTAGTTGGTGATCCGGTAGTCGTGCTAGATGGGGAGTTGTAGCTAGAAGGACTGGTAAGTTATTGTAGTCGGGTAGCTGTTGAAACGTGACAGTACAGTGTATGTGGTGAAGATATACTCGCCGGTGACTGGAGCGGCGAAGTCTGTGACTGTGAATGTTGTAGCCAACGTCAAGGTATCTTGCTCGGAATTCGTCGGTCAGAGTCGTGGTTGAGATCACTCTCTCGTGTATCGTATTGCGACTGAAGGAGCGGAAGAGCCCTAGAAAGACATATACCTGATAGCTCAACGACGTAGTCAGGCAGACGAAGACGATGAAGAGGGCAGTATTTTCTACGCGTGACCTTCTCTCAATCCGAACCTGGTGACTGGAAGATGGTCGGAACGGGGATGAGCTCCGGTATCGTCGGCGCGAGGTCATGAACAAAAGAGCATGTGCATAGTATAGAAACAGTGAATTGTATGCAATGTAGATATATTCATCGTAGGACACGTCGGAGAAGATAGTCCAATCTCCTGGTAGTCTTAGCCGTCATATGCCATCACCAAGATGACTTCGCTGCCCATCTCGCCCACACCACCGCCAAGATGACATGCCCACCAAGTCTGAACGCATTCAACAAGAGCAGGTCGAAATCCAGAACCTGTCGACCTCAATAGCCCCCAAGGCACCTTAGCTGTTCCTTAAGTTGGCAATGCGCCCGCCAGTGAAAGTGGGACTAGCAGCTCTGCTCCTGGTCTTGGGCTGCGGCGTTGCACTCGTTCCTCTGGTGCCTACACCAGGCCTACCTCCCATACTCTTCAGACGAGCTATCTCGTCGTCTTTCGTCATTAACGTACGCTTCATAATGCTCAGCTCCATTTCCAACCTCTTCATACGCTGCTGTTGTTCATCGTAGACTCTTTCAATATGCATGCTCTTCCGCTTCGTTGCGTCACCCGAAGCTGCCTTGGAGAGTGTGACGTGCTGGGCTTCCAGTTCTTCAACGCGGGTAGTAGCGGTAGATGCGGTGGATCGGGCATCCTGCAAGCTTCCTCTCATGTAATCCAACATCTGCTCTGCTGCTGCGGCTTTCTTCACTGCTTGCTCCGTCTTCTCGTTCGCTTCGTCGAGCTGATTGCGAAGCTTGGCAATTTCTTGGAGTCGTGCATCATCTCCAAGGAGGGCCGTCTCCCGCTGTTCCTTAAGGGCCGCCTTCACCTCACGCATCTCTGTGGTACGCGCTGTGAGACGTTCGGTGAGAGTAGCGTTGTTCTTCGTCAACGTCTCGACTTTGTCCTCTGCGTCCTGTAGTCTTCTCTTCACACGTCGATGCTCACTTGCCAGATCCTCGTGCACTGTCTGCTGCCTGTCCCACATATCCTTGTGCTCGCCAAAGTCCCTTTGACCTGCCCTACGGGCTTCTCGCTCTTCCCGAAGCCCTTCTTTCGCATGGGCTAGCTGTGTCCGCAGATCAGAATCGTAAGCTGCAGTGCCAGGCATCGAATCGCTAATATGGGTGATATTGTGCTCTTTATCAACCGCAGAAGCAGGTACTGGCTGCGGTTGGGGGGTGAACCGCATACGCTTTGCAGGGTCGAGCTCTTCCTCATCCAGAGGGCGTTTGCTGCGTTCAGGTATAGGGGCGTCCGTTGAGGCCTGTTGCGTCTGTTGCGTCTGATACTCTATAACGTCCTTGACACTACCGATAGAAGACAGTGGCCAATCAGCACCTTCCATCCTGTTCTTGATCCAGTAGGAGACCAATTCGGCGCACTCAACGTCTCGTGGTGTGCGTTCATCGATGGCTTTTCCAACATCTGGATGAACATGCGCCAGGCTCGCTAGGATAGTGTGCATGTGATCAATGGGATCCAGGCTGGACGTTATGTACCGTTCAATGTGGCCGACAGTCCTTGGAATGACTAGATGAAGCACAGGTACCACATCGCAATTAGGTGATTTGGCCCAATTCTTTCTGCGAATTTGTGCTGCATCTTGCACACCGTCGAGACAGATGATCAGGTCGGGAACATGTATGATGGGCGATGCATCGCTTGGGATGATGGTAACCAACAAGTTACCTACCACCTCTTTCAGGTTTGCCTTCCGATCTTTACCAGGCATAGTGTAGTTGATGTAGGTTGTCTTGCAGAACGTCTCAAGGATGCGGAAGAGTGTCTCGTTGTCACTCTCTGTGACCAACACAACGTGTTTCTGCGGCTCGCAATGCCGCAATTCATTGAACAGCGCTGACAGGAATCTAAATTTGGTGGAGTTTTCCAAGCCAAATCTAGCTGCGTGCTCTGCTTGCGTTGCCGAAGCCTCGCTATCTAAAGTGTTTGATTCAGCCTCAGCGAATACCAAGTCCATGTGCGTCTCGATAGCGCGTAGCTGGGATAGGATGTTCTTGACCTCCTCGACTGAGTTGAGACTGTGACGATCCTTAAGGAATGGCTCTAACAGATCCCTCTTCGCGGTGATGTACTGGGCGTACGTATCTCTTTGTCGACCCTGGATATACAAAGGCACGATGAACTCCTGGTCTACCAGCTGTAGATCATCATTGAAGAGGCTCTCGCTGTCTTCATCGTCTGCGTCGCTGACCTCCATCCCGTCGGATGTGGGAGATCTTGGTACCGGTATGATAGGCCCATATGCCTTCATTGCTTCAGTGATAGCAGGTTCTGGATGATTGCTTGGTGGTGAAGTCATGGCCTTATCTAATGCAGGAGCTTCTGGCTGCACGCTGCTGGGAGCATAGGCGACATTCCTAAGCGACGTCGGCGCTTGCGCAAGAGGTGAGCGGTCCGGCACGGCGGAGGGCGATCGAGTGCCTTCTGCCGGCTCTTGCGTCCCCCGTAGCCTGCTCACTGGCGTCGGCGTAGCTGCGGGTGCATTTTCCACTACTGAGGGCGTCATCGAAGACCTGGGACGCCTTCTGGGAGTACGGCGCGACTCTGCTATGCGCTTGTCTATGGCTTCTTGCATCTGCCGTCTGATGATGTCTCCGGTACCCTCGCCCGCCATGATGGAGAGTGATGAGGTAGGAACAGGCGTACAAGGCCGTGATGGGAGTCGAGATCCTTGTGTTTGCAGCGAGTAGCTGGGTGGGTACGGAACCGGCGAGGTCTCGTGATTAAGCGATCTTGACGGGCGTTCTGGGGATTCCTGCGACGAGTCGTGACGAGACTCAGAGCTAGCCCGATGCGCCACCTCTTCTTCGATGGTATCTCGTATGCTCTCAGATGTGTCTTCTTGCGTGCTCAAATCTGCCTCAAGAGGTACTACTTGCGCGTTCTGTACGCGCTCTGGACTAGATGACGCGTGCGGTAGTTGATCGCGAAGAGATAGCTCCTCTTGAAGCTGGCCTGATGGTGAGGCACTGTGAGCAGCTTCAGGTTTGAGAAGTTCCACTAACGTGTCGTTGTGATCTTGGTGATGGGGTGCAGTGGATGCTTGGACTGATGGGTGAGGTGGGTCGGTCGCTGGCGCCGGATTGGATTCGCTTGGCACACTTACCCCAGCAAGCACTCGTCCTGGGAGGGCCGGTGTCGCGCAAGCTTGTGGGAGCTGTTCTGAGGACTTGATGCAAGATACTGATTCTGAAGGCTGAGAATACCGAAACGGATATTGCGACTGGAAAGGGAACTGTTCGTTGTCTTCCAATACCGAATGCTCAATTAGACTTGGTTGACTGTCGCAAACGCTGATTTGCTGGAATTCGTGATGTTGCGACGGCTCGTTATCACCGTCGGAGACTTGAGTATCGCTAGCTACGTTGGGCCTTTCGGTGTGATGAGATTGGCTGTTCTCGACTAGTGTAGATGGTTTATTGAGAGAGGTCGGGACTTCGTTTGTGTCGACCACCTCAGTCGAAGCGTTCCTTGTAATGTCCGTAGCCGCTGATTCCAAACGAGGATGTTCGCCCAGTGTACCGGTCTCCTTGCTGGGGGTAGTCTCGCGTGCGATTCGTGCTGAGTGAGTCTGCGAAGCGGCGTGATCAGCCTGGGGCGCCCCAAGCTCGTTGGTTTCTGCTCTCTGATGCTCTTCCTCTGCAACACCCTGATCGGTTTCGCTGTATTGAATTTGCAGAGTATCCTCCGGTTCTGGGCTCGACTCGTGTTCCACCTGTGAGGAAATATGTATGAATTCGAGTGTGTTCGGAACACCTTGCGACTCTGCCTCGGGTCTCTGCTGCTGAGACTGCGAGTCTGCTACGGTGGTATCGGGTATCGTCTCAGGTATCGATCGTGCGGGTGACAAAGCGTGCTGTGCGGCTTCTTCAATGAGTTCAAGTAGGCCCTGCAAACATTGGTCAGTAAATACACTGATATCAGGGTCTGAGAAGGATTGATCATACCGAGTCTTCCGCAAGATCTTCCTCCACTTGCGATCCGTTCGTATCGGTACTCTGCTGGCTAACGTCCTCGGTGCGTTGAGTTGTGGGTACGAAGCTCCCTTCACCGCTGGAACTCTGCGAGTCGGGGACTATGTCTGACAGATGAGGTCGTGGGCGTGCCGCGAACAACTGCGAGCTGTCTAGATTGGTGTCCTGCGTAGCCTCTGGTGTCGGAGCTGGCTGAGACGATGGTGTCTGCGTGAAGCGCACGTAGTTGCTCCTCTCGAGACTGTCACCCCGTCGAGCGATTTGGATGCGAGGCGAAGCACGAGGAGCCGACACTGCGGCACTGGGCAGTCCTTCCGAGTCGGCTCGATTGTCAAGAGGTGTCGAAGGCGTAGATGATGCAGTGCTGGGCTCCGGGCTGCTGTCAATCACACGGGGATTGCGGATGCGCTTCGATGCCTGTGCCTGGGCTTCCTGTCGTTGCTCAGGGTGTCCACTGTCGCTTCCTTGATATCGCTCGTGGTCTTCTGCCAAGATACGCGCCTTCTTCTGTGCCCAGTGGACGACGAGCAAGTCGTTGGCGTTCTCTTCCGGCTCCCAAGTCGGTTCCCACGTCTTTCCAGTCTTGGGGTCAATCCCTTGCCATTGGATGTAGTATTTGCGTACACCACGGACTACTTGTTCGTCGAGAATTGACTCCGCTGCCCATAAAGTGTCGCTTTGGCTCGAATCGACGTATCGTGAACGTTTGTTTGTGTTGGTTCTCAATGAGTTGCGCTTCCTCTTGGGTCGCGCCATTACGCGCAACGTCCGTTGGAGATGGTGTTTGAGTATGTCGTCTCCATTGTGGGTAGAAGAGGTGAGAGTGATGGTGCGCCGGGCCGTGGGCGGGTGAGTGGTGACTGGTAGGTGGTGAACGGTGATAGTGCGGGACTATCCGCGACCCAGATGACGAGCCCGCCGTGGACGCGTCGCGACGCGTCCCCGACTGCAGTGCCGCGGCACCACTGACTCAAAACCGCCATATCCATTTGGGGGTCCCAGATACTTGTGCCATCAATTCAGCTTAAACACAGAGCTTTTTTTGTATTATCTTCGTCCGCTACATTAAGAGCATGGCACGAGTCACGCAATGTCGGTAGCACTGTCAAGATATCAAAACGTACGGCCAAGTATACAAGAAGTAGATTAGGCAAGCTATAATCAAGCCATTCAGATAAAGGCTCTAAAGTCTTTCGTAAGAATGTACATGCTTCCTCCAAGGAATGCCGGCATGTGTTGAATATCCTACAGTTTTGCGCATCGATCCTGAACGCATTTCTGCATGCGCCATTTGGTCGCATGCGTTCACACCTCATCTCAGTATCGCCCGCCTCGTCCGTTACCCCTCCAGCCTCCCCTGTTGCCGTTGTTGCCACCGCGCTGCCCACCTCCATAGCCGCGTCCGCCTTGGTATCCGCCACGGCTCTGACCATACTGGCCATTGTTGCCGGGACCGAAGTTGTTACCATACTGGTTGCCGCCCTGATTTCCGAATTGGTTGCCGCCCCGGTTTCCACCCTGGCTTCCGTGATGGTTGCCAAATTGGTTGCCACCCTGGTTGCCGTGTTGCGGACCGTTCGGTGGCATGTTCATGTTGGGAGGTGGAGGCTGCCACATGCCATTGAAGTTGGGGGGCGGGGGAGGGGGGACGAAACCACCACGTCCTTGGAACTGCGGTGGTGGAGGGGGAGGAACACCGAATGGCGGCATTGGCATCGGAAACTGGCCTTGGAACTGGCCTGACATATGTGGTGGTGGTGGAAACGGCGGCTGGTTAAAGGGCGGCTGATGCAGCAGGGGCGGGACCTGGTGCTGATGGTTGTTGGGGCTGGACTGGGTGTTCCTGTTCGCACCACCCCACTGCGATCCAGGCTGAGATTCTTCTCTGTCGTATGCCCTTGATGACGGTCGCGCTTCGGCGAAACCTTTGCCCTCAGACTCTCGACGCGGAGGTCCATGTGGCGAGACCCGGCGGCGACCCATAGATCCGTCGGGTGACATTCGACGGCGTTCGTCGTCATACCGATAACCCCCAGGGCTACGGCGACTGTGACTGCGACTGCGGCTACGATTGTATCCCCTTCTTCGCTCCCTATAGGGTGGGCCCGACTCTGACGATGAGGAAGTGGGTCGACTATCTGGGCCAACGCGTCGCCCGACAGACAAGACCGGTGGGTCCTCCATGTCTTCCATACGTTCTATGTCCTCTCGCGCAATCTTGATGGTCTCCGGCACAGTGAACTTCTGTATGTCTTGACAGAACTTTGGCGACCAGCCGTAGCCGTTTGCCACTGTAGCTGTCTCGCCAGTCTCCTTGTCCTGCTTAACCAGTTGGCCCATAGGATCCAACGACAGCCTATACTTGGTTGTTTCCCCGGTCGGATTATCGCCCGTTGGCAGGTACTTGAGGTCGATGTTCTCAAAGAAGTTGTCGAGGAGAGTGCGAACGTGCGAACTGACCGGTTTCTTGTCAAACTTCCGTATCTTGATCTGGGATTCGTGGATCGGGCGATTCGGGTTTCGGATTATAGGCTCGAGCATGTACGATGCGGGGAGGTCGTGCCATCTGGCATGTCGGTCGCCGTGGTATTCTGGAAGGACGTAGTTGCGCTTGCGACCCTGTGCTACGGACAAGGCCTCGTCTGCCTTGTGCCGACAAGCTTTCAGACCCTCTGAGCCCAAGAGCTTGTTAACGGCCCAGTAGTTGACAATGGCTTTCAGCTTCACCTCTAGCTGCGATCCCTTCTCGGTGATACACGCCGCTGCGAGTTCGATCAAGTCAGGGACAAAATCTTGACACGCGCTGCCAAGAATACTCTGCTTCGTCGTGTCGCGACGATGGAACTTGTCAGCATGTAGGGCATCGTTGACGATCAACAAGAGATCCATCCGGTTGCGCGCTGCTTTCTTCGCTAGCGCTGGAGTGCTCTGATCTACTACGACAGACTTTGAGACAGCGATGAGATACGCGCCGAGGGTGGTGATCCGAGCCTTGGAGGGAGCTACGTGCTTCACAATCCATTCTGTGCATTTCTACGAGCGGCGAATTAGTCTGCTCCCGGTGACATGTGATCGATGGTTTTATAGTTAGATACCTGGATATTGATGGGCGAGTTCTGCTGAAGAACGGCATCAATGTGGTTGAAAAGCTGCGAGCTAATTTCGACTGCAATGGGCGCTGAACGATCTTCGGCATCGGAATCTTTCATCGCCTGCTTGAACTTCACCTGCGCAATCGTCAGACCTGACTTGCGCTTTGCATCATCATTTGGCGCCATGTTTGGCGACGTGAGGTTGCGACAATGAGTTCGTGGTGGGGAAGGAGGTCGGCATGAGCGTCGCGAGAGTGTTGATGTTTCCAAGGTTTCGAACGCGAACGGCGCTAAGCTAGCGCGCCTTCCGCATCGTTCACCCCGCCATCGGCCAAGGCAATCACAAATATGTCCGCCAACGACGCCATCCAAGATGAGGTCACCTCGCTCAACGCCATCTTCGACGAAGGCACCCTGTCAGCCTTAGATGAAGACCAACGACTTTACAGTCTACGTCTGCCGTCGCTGCCATCGATAACTCTGCGTATTGAATTTCCGGCAGACTATCCGGATGCGCCGCCATCCGTGCTAGGCACTCAGAGTGTGGGACAAGATGTCCCCAAGGGTATGGGCAGCCAGGCTGTCGATGTAGTGAGAGAAGTTCTGGCAAGGATCTACCAGCCCGGCGAGGCATGTATCTACGATTTGCTTGAAGAGGCAAGGGAGGCTTTGGAGCGAGCGGAAGAGCAAGGAGATATTCAACTGCACGATCAACACGAGGATGAGCCCATTGAGAAAGACGAGAACTCTCATATCCAGTTCGACCCGGCCATCGACCTTGGACCGGAGCCACCTTGGGTCGTAGCACCCGCCCTTACCGAGAAGAAGTCAGTTTTCTTAGCTCGCGCAGCACCTGTTTCGTCACCAGCACAGGCTAGACAGTACGTCGCACATCTCCTAGCGACAGACAAAAAGGCTGCACGCGCGACTCACAACATGACTGCTTGGCGGATCAAAGGTCCAAACGATACGAGCTACCAAGACTGCGACGATGATGGTGAGACTGCTGCTGGATCGCGGATGCTGCACTTGATGCAGTTGATGGATGTTTGGAACGTCGTGGTTGTTGTCACAAGATGGTATGGTGGTATACACTTAGGTCCTGATCGCTTTCGCATCATCAACACTACGGCCAGAGAGGCATTGATCTTGGGTGGCTTCGCAAAAGAGGGCAAAGAAAGCGATACGAAGAAGAAGGGGAAGAAGTAAAAGAAACATGCCATTGGCTCATCGGAGACATGCATGCGACCTTATAACATGAGCCATTCACTTTCGTCTTTCCCATCCACTGACATGGTCAGCCGTTAGCAGATATGCTCTCGCAGCTTTCACCTGGCTCACAGCGGAGTCGTTACATCACGCTTCCAGATCGCTCTCACAATAGAATCTCCTCCCATTCACTCGATTGCACAGACCTTTGCCTATTTAAGTCGCGCCTGTTTCATATTGCACACTCACCGCAACACTCCGCGCTTCTCTCACTCACAACCAATCAATCACTGAACCTCACAGAACGAAAAACTTCGACACATACTATTGAGAATGAGTTATTCCGGTCCTGGAAATAACAGATCGAGCTCCGGCAATCGTGCGGGTCAGCATTTCAGCACACGAGGACATCATCTCGGTGGCGGTGGTGGTGGTGGCGGCCGACCACAACAAACTGGCAGCCATGCTACAGCGTATGTTCCCCAGCGCTCTCGTCAGCCCTCCCACATTGTGTTCATCGAGGAGGAAGATGACCAAGATGATGAATACGATACTGATATCGGAGTCTCCAGTCCCCACGGGTACCACGATGCTATGCACAACTTAGCCGACACTATGGCGGACCTGGACAGTATGCTCGGCTCTGGGCCACAAGGCCAAAGCATGCGAGATACTTTCGGTCAAGGATTTCCTTTCGATAGCGCAGGCGGTATTCCGGGGTTCGACGCCCTTCATATCGGTATGGGTGCTGAGTTCGATAGTGTATTTGAGGAAGCCTTCAGCCATCCCATCTTCTCCGGAAACGATATCGCGCATGGGTCAGGAGCCCATGGGCCCGAAGCTCATAGGCCTGGAGCTCATGTACCTGAAGTTCATAGGACTATGAGCTGTTTCGGCGAGAACTTTCCATTTGGATCTAGCAACCACACACATATCCATGTTGGAGGCTTTGGACTAGGCGAACACCTGCCTTTCCATACTCATCCCATCCCACCACGTAGACCTCCGTACGTCCCAGGCCCTACACGAGGCGGTTTCCCAGTCGAATTCGAGCCTCCTCCTCTTCCAGAAGACTACCAGCCAACTCAGAGCAGCGAGCAACGCATTAACAACTTCATCGCACGCAACACCGAACCTCTCACCGCTGCCAACACGACTAGCACGACAAATACTGACTGCCCAGTCTGCATGGAGAATGCTGCGGCTCATCCTTGTGTCAAGATCAAGGGTATCCAAGGCTGCGAACACATGATCGGCCGAGACTGTCTCAAAGAGTTTCTGAAACAGCGACCGGATGACGGAAAGACATGTCCTCTTTGCCGGGCTGTCTGGCTTGCAGAAAACGGTGTTTGGCAAGATTCAGATCAATGGAGTGAACGTATTGCTCAGGCGAACCTAGGCCATCGTTTCGCGAGGTGGTGAAGATGGTTACGGGTTGCAACAAGAGGTGAAGACGAGGAATCGAAGGCTGGCGAGGTCTGTGTGAATGGCTATGTGCGTGGTGGACATGAGACGGAGCTCTGGATTGAGATGAACGAAGGCTGCTTTGGTGATTGGAAAGAGTGATTAGCTAGTAATCTCGCAGATGAAGAAGGGGAATGAGAATGAGCAGGTGTATGACACGTCACAAGGGTGCACGCAAGCAATTATATATCGAATTGATGAAACTTCAAGACAATATTGATAAAGAGTAGATATCGAACACACTGGATGTTACATCGCCGCGAGGTCGTATACTCTGCGTATCCTGCCCTGACGTAGTTTGTAGATCTGTTCAGTTTACATCTTGTAAGAGATGGTTCCATTACTCCGTGCAGCACGGATCGGTAGCAAGCAACTGCTTACTTATCCTCCGAATCTCTGCTTGAACTTCTGCGTCGAAGTAGTTCCAGCTTGGAGGTACTTTGAATTTACCTTTAGCGTTCAGGTCGTTTCTTCTACAGCTGACGATGGTGTGATATTGAGAAGGCCTATCGTCTGGGTCAAGCATAGTGAGCTGCATGGTTGTCTCGGAGTTCAGCACCTTTTCCAATTGCTGCATCTGTTCCCCGTATGTATATTGCCTCTCATGGCAACATTGCGGCGTGCCTGGCACATAGTGCTTTTGTGAAAGGCAGATGTAAGTGTGTTTTAGGGAGCAGGACCCAAGTACATCGTATCTGATTCCGAGAAAAGATACTATGCTCGGCCGGCTTCTTACTTCCAAGGAAAATTGGGCATCATCGAGCAGCGAGTTCGGGGCGGTGGCATGTGCGACGTCGGTGAGATCAAGCTTCATTACCCATGAGAACTTGTCGCCAACGGACCGCGCGGAGGCAAATTCTGGGTGTGACTCAGATGCGTCTTTATCCATCCACTCGCCAGTCTTGACGGTGAAACCTTTGTCGGAATCTTGCCTCATCTTGGCGATTGCGGGTGAGGGTTTGTTGTGCCACATAGGAGCCATGAGGTAGGACGTTCGTTCAAGGATGGTTGCAGTAGGAAACAGACAATACGCCTTATTCCAGGAAATGAAGCACGCTCTAGAAGAGCACATGCAGCCTTGGAGGATTGTGTCGATGGGAGAAATGCCGCAGTGCCTTAGAGTGACCGTGATCTTGCTACCGTTGCTACCCGACGATTTCTTGAAGACAGAAATCTGTTAGTAGTCAGTAACGTAAACTTCAAGTATGATACATAACGCCGTGGGCTTACCTGTGAGAAAGCAAGAAGTACATCTCCGGGGATTGTTTTGTCCAGGACATAACCATCGCTTTTAAGGTAGCTAATAAGAGCATCCACCTTCTCCCCGTCTTGCGTAAAGAGCTGAAGTTCGTTCCTGACCTGCAGACGACGGAAGAACTTTCCGGCGAACTTGCTTCCGATCAGAGTCTCAGTCTGGGCCTGTACAGAACGCAACGTCTGAGTGTTCTTGAAGAATGGCTGCAGTCTTGTGTTAATGTTCCACTGGGTCTTCTTCATGTTTGCGTACAGATCCGACGTCATTCTGCAGGCTAATTGAACATTGCGTATATCATCAATACCTAGGTAAGATGTGATGAGTGAGTGCGTTGTGTAGCGCGACTCTCGATTGATGACAAGATCCATAAGGTCTGGCACTGGATTCGGGGGTGGGTGCGGTAGAGACATGGATTGGACTGTTGGAGGCGAGATTTCTCCGAGTTCTTCCACGCACGCTTTAGCAGGCTCGTTCGAGGGTTGATTGAGTTGAGCCATCGTGGTCGCGAATAAGTGTGGAATGCGGTTGGGTAGATCGATGCAGCCTTGAGAGAAGGAAAACGAATGATATAAGTACTCAAGGCGTAGAAACCGATTAGGTGAAAGCCGGGATAGATAAAAGAAGGCAGTATACCACGCGGGCCCGTCTTAGTGAAATATACTCTGAGGTAGATTACCGTGCCTTAGGCTATTGCATCGATTGCGTGTAAGAAGAGTGGGTTCTTCTCTGCAAGAGGGCTCTCAGCCCATTCACTGAAGTCCTCGATTCGCAACTGGCACTTGGAACCTCTTTCTCCCCTTCCATGACCAATCCACAGCAGCGCCTAATATGATCGCACCTAGAATTGGTCCCGCATAGTTCAGGTTGAACCTATTCACAGGGAGGATAGTGGGTAGTGGCATCCAAACAAAGGTGAAGACGATGTAGCACAAAGCTCCGGCGTTGATGTATGCGCCAGCTGCGCCCAGCTTGAATGGACCCCATGGAATCGGTAGAGGCCTCGCGCTCATCGTCCGACGCCAGAAAAGGAACAAGATAGGTAAAAAGTACGATAGGTACAAGCCCATTGCGGGAAGGGAGATAAGAGCGTTGAACGCGGTACTCGAAGCAATGTTGATAAGAGCCAGGATACAAACGCAGAGGCCGCTGAGACACAATGCGTTAACCGGTACCCTCAGCTCAGGGTGGACCCTGGCAAAGGTACGCGAGAACGGTAACCCCTCGTCCTTGGAGAACGCCCAAATGAGACGAGAGACCGAGGCGAATATGTTAAAGAACGATACAAAGATTATGTAGACCAGCATGAACATAAACAAATTTGTGGCTGCTTTAGATCCCGTGGCCTGATAGTAGACTTCGATAATTGGTAGAGGCGAAGCGGAAGCCCGATCCACGTCTCCAATTGTGAAGAGAACGGTGATCATGTAGAGAAGTTGCATGAGACCGTTCATTCCGACAGAGAAGATGATGGAGCGCGGAACCCGGGTATGTGCTTGCTTGACTTCGTCGGACATGTGGATTACGCTATCGAAACCTGAACTTATCAGTATAGCTGCGGTAAGCCAGAGATCTCTCAAAACTTACCAGCCAGCGGGTATACCGCAGTGATCAATCCTATACCCCAGGCCACCGTGGGGTTTCTCCAACCACTGATGTCGTGGGTCAAGGTCTGAAACACATATTCCGTGGAACTCTTTTCTGCCATTACAGCCAAGGTAACAATACCAGCAAAGAAGAAGGCGACATGGCATATTGCTCCCGCTGTCTCGAGGACGTTGATGATTTTAGGAAGCCAAAGGTTTCCAATGAACGGAACTATTGTCGAAGCGCACATGATGAGTGTCGTGTGCCACCGCTGAACCACGTACTCTGGGTTATTGAAGGAGGCCATAGCGGTGACGATATTCGATATTAGCGCTGCATTCGACGTGCAACACCAGATCCAAGCGAAGACTGTGATCCAGCCTTGCATCAAACCGAAGAAGCGATTCCAGATTGGCGCGAAGGCGGCAGACCACCGGTATTGAGCCCCAACTGTGGGATCCATGGAAGACATCTCGGCGAGCGATAAGGCTACTAGCATGGTTCCTGCCCATGCGAATATGCTACCGTACACGATGGAGGCTGGACCGCCATTGCTCAGTGCGAACTGAAAAGTGAGCGCGGATGCTTCCCAGGAACATTGCATGAGGAAGGAAAAGTTTACAGAAGAGGAGGCGTTGATGTATCGCTGCAAGCCATTAGTGAAAGCCCATGTTTGAGCTGTGGTCATACATTTAGTGCCCCTCCTCCAGAATCCTGCGTGCCATTGGTCCCCTGCTCCTCGATTGCTTGTTGCACAACATTCTTCTCAGCGCTGATAATATCGCAGCTCATGTCAATCGGTCTTATTCCTGTCGCATTTGTCATTTCCGTCATCGGTAATCAGGTGTTTCGTAATCCAGGGAGTTACTTTCTGAAGATGGGGCCTATGTTCTTATCAGTACCAGCAGCCTTGCAAGATCAGTAACCCAAATGTCGGGCTGCATACATGACCGATGAAAGTACGTTGTACAACGTGAAAGCATGCCTGTTCATTCGGCCGTCTTTTGTGGCGGGCCTACGAAGTGGCGTCCACTACTAGCAGCATGCATGTCATCATGCACAGAGAGCTATGCAGTAGAAGCTGCTGAAGTGCTCGATTGGCCAATCTGAAGCTGAAAACAGTATGCCACCGCGCATTGCGAATACGTCTGTTCAGAATCTTATTTCGTGATAGGTCTACTACCTCCATCACGGCTACCGGCCCGGGCCCGCTAGGTAACACGCAGCCATGAGCGTCCACCGTGAAGTTGCGGTCTTGTGGACGAGATCAGAAGATGGAGCCCAGCACCCCAATGAATTTGCAGCACTTCAAGAAGAGCGGATCTCCTCGCATGATGGCCGTTGTGGTGGAACCCGGTAGCGACAGCGAATGACGTCATCGCTAGACTCGGGCGGCTCGATGATGGGCGATGGAGAAGCGAGGTGCCCAAAGGCTCTACGATACGCCATACAATGCGATACAGAGCACAGCCACTGCCAGAATGGGAGAAGACGAAGGTGGTGTAGATGGTGCAAATTACAACGTGATTGACCCGCCCCTTCTTTGAGCGCTTGAGCTAGCGTTTTAGCGTGACCGGCCCCCGAAGCCTTCAGCCTTCGTAGTCACTGCCCACACACTCCGCCATCCACATTATCATCAATTGACACACATCCGCCATGCATCAAACCACCGAGGCCCCATGGCTGACTAGCCTACTGTCTCGAACCTGATCGAGCTCGGAAGCCCCTCCAGATCCCGGCATCTCGTGAAGTTGACTCTCCGCACTGGCCAGTTGTGCAGCCTCGCTGCCACCCTTCTCGTACCGATAAATCTCTTTTGATGGCTGTTCTTCAGGTGCATCATAGGGCGTAGGGGCATCCCGCGCCTTCTTGCGCCAGCGCAGCGCCTTAGCGATGAATATGCCTAATCCGATCAAGGCGATGGCTCCAATCGAAGCCCCTACACCGATACCAGCTTTCGCGCCTGTAGAGAGCTCACTGTCACCAGTGGCAATTGGCGTACTCGACGGAGAAGACGATACCGTGGACGACACGATCGAAGATGCGGTCGAAGAAGAGACTAATGAAGACGTCACGGTGGGTATGGGGTCGCCGAATCGCGCTGCTATGGTGTATCGCGGTATTGTGCTCCCATCCGTGCAGCATTGAGTAGTATTACCGCAACACCAGGTTAACGAATCAACGTCACCGGTGCAAGGTGTCACCTTCGTGTCTTTGCTTCTTTGTAAAGAATCCTAATCGTCGTCAGTTTTGATGGCCTTCAAATAATTCGGCGTGAATTGTACCTCGTCCGAACAGAGCTCCTGGCATCCTCCTTCCCCCCAATTACTTTTCGTACACGACTCTCGCCAGATGGCCCCGTCTCCCCTATTCTGACACAGCCCGTTCCTCAGTAAGTTATCCCAACGAGCACAGCAAATATTACTCAGAGGATCGGAGGTGTTGTTAATTTGTGTAGAGTACGCAATGTCTGTGTTCTGTGTGCCGTTGCGCCAGTAGCAGGCCGCCATTACAGGCTGCAAGCAGACGAGTTGCAACAGAAATATGAGAGAGAAGGTTCTGCGCGACATCACGAAATGATGGACTAACTGAAGAGCTGGACAATCGAGGAGACGCGACTTGGGCTGCTTTTAGTATTCAGCAACACACCCCTTTCGCGCACTCGGCTTACAACCGCTCACGAGGCGCTTGGGGCCAACGCAACATCTATTAGTCGCAATTACAATCCGCGCGATGAAGCCCATTGGAAACAGAGCTTGGGCAGTAAGCGAGATACACCATTCCGCTCAGCCTTGTGGTACTCAAAGTTGACACCGGTTGGTTAATATGGTAGCAGTAATCTCGATCACACGTAAGCCTTCGCCCCAACGAATTTGTTCGCCTTTTCTTGGCGCGTATCACCTTCTAATCGTAGCTGATGCACGACTTACACTGCACTTGACGCGTTGCGCTGCCTAAGTGCGTGTTTGTGTTATGCGAAATTTGGTTCCATTTCAGCCATCGACCCGGCTTTCGCATCAACTTCATCTCAGTATCGTGAGCATGATTGCGCGAATCCCACACCATGTTGCCTGCTCGGAATTTCTCAAGGATGAGGATTTATATGTATTCGAGATTGTTAATATATACAATGAAGTTGCTACTACACATGACCCAAATCCGGCAGGTCAGCACCGCGAGATGCTCCTAATGGGGAAACAGGGAAGGACCTATGTGCAGATCTTCCTCGCCCCGTTTCCGGTGAGGCTCCATTTGGTCTTATTGACAGTGCACGGGTTCTCCGTCACACTGGTTCCATCGACCTTCAGCGTAATGGCAATATCCCTGCTGTTCGCAAACTCGGTCCTGGCCGCGAGACGAACCTCACCACCACCACTAACAGTACCAGCTTTGATGTTGACATTGTAGCAGTTCTCGAGCAAAATCGCGTTGTTACCCGTGTTGGCGACATCGATAGTACCGATCTCCGCACCTCCAGACGCAGAGACACAGAAGATACCGCGGCCGCCACCACGGGCCTTGACGCGGTTGACGTAGATGTTGGTGCCGTATCCGCCGTTGACCTTTCCGGCTTCGTTGGCGAAACGGAGAGCTGCGTAGCCTGTGCCAGCGCCGCAGTTGTCGCAGTCCACGGTGCCGACCTTTGCGTTGGTGACCTTCTGAAGGAGGAGACCGCATTCTCCGACGTTCTTGCCGACGACTGAGCCGATGTCGAGCTTGTCGATGTTCCTGAAGATACAAAGTCAGTCTATGTCTTGCATGCAGTTTATGCAGTCATATCCTTACCATGTCTCGACGCAGTGCGACGTGCCGCCGTTGCAGGTGATGGTGCCCATCTTGACGTTTGTGTTGGCCGCTCGGTCGCGGTCGAAACGGATGCCCATACCCTCCTTGAGGTTGAAGTTGATGGTGC